TTTTTCACAGGGCACATCTCGGCCTTCCTGGACTTAGGAACAATGAATGGCACTTCAGCGCTAAAACATTTGGGGGCTACTAAAAACAGTGAAATCACCAATAAAATGTGCAAAAATGCAGAAAACATGTCCTCAGCATTGCAAAGGATTCTTGTTTATGAATGAGAAATTTTTTAAAAAGTGCAGTGTTGCCGGCCCTCCCTGGTGGCGCAGCGGGTTTTAAAGCACAGCACTGAGATTAGATTCCCGCCTGCCCCGGAGGTGACCACATGGCGTGGCAGACCTCTCCTGACTGGCACGTTGCTCCCCTCAGCAGTGTACTTCGTTGATCTGCCTGTTCTGCTCCCCACTCTGTCTCTGGTGAAGCCTCTTGCCCCCACTGAGCCTCTGGTCTGTACCCCAGTTCTGTATGCACAAATAAATAAATCTAAATAAATATTTAAAAAAAAAGTGCAATGTTGCCTTAGCCAAACTCATGTATATCAGGGCACTCAAATTTTTCACCACTACACAATGGCCCATGTTGATTTAGGGAATACAAATAAATTTTAGCAACTCGACAAAACTGAAACTATAGAAGCAATGACTAATAAGCATCGTCCATGTTTCCAAATCTAGACACTACACTACAGACTGGGTTGAAGGGGATCAGTTTTTTCACACTAAATATAAAGAAAAGCTAAGCACCATATCCTAAATGCTTCTGTGACAGGGTGACCACTAATTGGAAAACTCTTCGTGTTTTTTTAGTCAGACCTGAATATTTTGGTAATAGTAGAATATAATGAAACCTAAATTTGCACAACATTAAAGAATCATGTAAAACTTGGTGCACTGAACTACTATCCTTTTACATGTAATTTCAAAGCTGTAGTCAAAAACCAATCCAGTAAATGAATGATTGTTTCCTTTAGTTCCTTGTTCTTGCAGCTCAGAAACATAACTTTAAGAATTATATTAATCATTAAGGTCTTAGAGTATGTCTTATAAATAAAAGCATCTTTGTTTTTAACTCCTACTTACCATATTTAAAAGCATCCAGTTAGGGCCCTTCCTGGTGGCACAACAGGTTGAAGCACAGCACTGTGGAGCTAGCTGCTGCTTATTCAGCACGAGTTGGATTCCCTGCCCTTAGGAAGCTGACCCACATGGCCCAGCAGCTTTCTCCTGTCTTGCCTGCTGCTCCCCTCAGCAGTGTACTTCATCAGTCTGCCTGTTCTGCTCCCCATTCGGCTTCTGGTGAGTCCACTCACCACCTCTGGCTGGTACCCTAGTTCTGTATGCATAACTAAATAAATATTTAAAAATAAATGAATAAATAAATGCATCAAGTTAATTTTAAAATAGTTGTAAAATTTATAGCAACTAAAACTTAATGACAATATTATTTTTATAAGCATTCACTTAACTTACTGTTTTCTATGTTTCCTCTAATAGGTATTTACATATTTATGCTTTTAATTTTGCTTTTTCTGATTCTTTGCCCTAGATTTTATAAAATAATTTCTTACAGCAATGTTGACTGGTATTAATAAATCTGCTAAAGGGAAATATTTGTAGCAATTTAGATATGTCTCAAACACATAGACTAACATTAACTAATGTTCCTTTGTATAGTTAAAGATTAACTTGTCATAAATAAAACACTTACCTAATTATTCTTCTGTTTCCCCCATTAAATGTTCTTGAGTTTTGCAAGTCCTTGAGGAAAATCAAAAGAACTACTATAACTAGCAATTAACTTAAAGCTACACCAAATGCAGAAGCTCAACTTCATTTACATGAAGGGAGAATATTCATTTTCATTTATTCATTCCTTTAACATGAAAGATACGTCTCCCAAAGATTTTCAGAATAGGCCTTCCAAAGATCGCTCACTTTGGCAGGTGGATTATTTTCAGCAGTGGTCAATGAGGTCCTAAAGGCTCATGGGAAATTTGTACTACTCTCCCTTAACTAATAAAAAAATGAAAACTGGAGGTCTTTCCCAAAGCTAGGATTTTACCAGAAATAACCTGTCTATAGGAGAAGCCTGTTAATGTAGCAGGATAAAAATCTAACTACAAAGCATCCAGATTTGTCATATGAGTCACCCACTCCTCTGTCTTTGAAGTCCCAACACCTTATTCCATTTCTTATCTCAGGATAAATACCCACATTTGTGTTTTCCCTATTATTAGTCTGTCTGATATTATTATTATTATCATTATTAAATGTATCCATTGAGATTACATTCTTACTCTTCCATGTGAGCACATGCTTCACTTACCTTCCAATAAAACTTTGATTTTAATTTAACTACTTAACCAACCTGAGGAGACACCAGAGGGATGGGGGGAAAATTTCTCCCCTTTCTGGACCACCATTTGGCTAGAAAGAATGGTTTCCATTCTTCCCTGTCTTCTAAAGGAGAGCATACTGGATATTTATAAACGCTATCAGATCTCAACTTCAAAAAGAACAACTACACTAGCATGTAGACATCTTTTTTTTTTAAGATTTATTTATTCATATAGAATTGGGGTACAAGTCAGAGGTACAGGGGCGATGAGAGGCTTCACCAGAGACAGAGTGGGGAGCAGAACAGGCAGAGTGACAAAGTACACTGCTGAGGGGAGCAGCGGGCAGGTCAGGAGAGGTCTGCCACACCATGTGGTCACCTCTGGGGCAAGTGGGAATCGAACTCATGCCGAAGTGGTTTCAGCTTCAGTGCAGTGCTTTAATCCGCTGCGCCACCAGGGAGGGTCATGAGTTTACTTTTTATTTAATATTTTTTTAATTTAAATAGTGACAATGGACACCATCTTGGTCAGTGTTGGTCATGGTCAAGGGTACTTTGGATTTACTCCAGGGCATTTCCTCCTTGAAGAGTTCATTCCTCCCTGATACATGCCAGAGCCACTCTCTTTTTGTACTTGCTTTGAGGAGTCCTCATCTGTCCCTCTAGCAGTCTTATGTGAAGTTTGACTATGTCCTGCCACCTCCCATCACCAAGTCGCTGAGAGAAGAAAATATCACCGTATACAAAAGTTAACGTTTTTGTGTGAAATGGAGGCAGGGTGGGAGTGCCACAGCTATCTTGTGAGAACGAATAGAATAAGTGAAATACACCAAAATATCAAAAATGTGAAGATATACCCTGGCCACCTTTGATTGAAAGTTCTAGTTTGAAGGAGGCAGTCCATTCTACTTCCTTTTCCTTTTCTTTCTTTCTTTTTTTTTTTCCTTGTCTTTTATTTTTTAGATTTATTTATTTATCCATATGGAACTGGGATACAGGTCAGAGGTGCAGGGTGGTGAGAGGATTCACCAGAGACACAGTGGGGAGCAGAACAGGCAGATCGACGAAGTACACTGCTGAGGGGAGCAGCGGGTGGGTCAAGAGAGGTCTACCATGCCTTGTGGGTCACCTCCCTAGCTGGGAATGGAATGTGTGCTGAAGTGGCTTTAGCTTCGAAGTACTCTACTTTAACCTGCTCTGCCACCAGGGAGGGCCCCTTTACCTCCTTTTCAAATGACTACAGATTTGAAAATGGTTGTATACTTTAGAACAAAGGCATAAGGTTCTTTTAAAAATATACAGTTCCTACACCCCAAGTCCAGGAGAGCCTGATACAAAAAGCTAGTGGCTTGCATCATTATTTCTTGAACATCCTTTAGAGTTCCTGCCAGGAGCCAGGTTTAGGAACTGCTTCAATCAACATAATGATGCTGCACTTAGTTTTGGAGTTGGCCCCACTCCATCCTATAGCCAGAGACTGTTCTGCCTTTCAAAAGCTTAGGTCTACATTTTGTAGTTTTCCTTTTTATTTCTGCATTTACTGTCATTTCCAATTTTCTGTGCTTTCTCTCATACTGCTTTAAAATCACACAAATTAGTTTTTTAAATTTATAGTAATTATGTAATAATAGTAAATAAAGTCTGCATGAAGCCTAAAATTTCTGTTTCTAAAGTGCCCTGCAATGTGAACTCTAACAAACACTTACTTTTCTTTCTAGGATTTTGGCTCTTTATGCCTTACTCTCTAAAGACAGGCTTCATTTTTAAAAATATATCTTATGTTCCAGTGCCCACAGTGTATTCATTAATAACTTGAATTTGTCACAAGCCCTCATTTGGCAGTGATTTTTCATATTTTATTCTCCACCTTTGCCTGAACGTTGCCAAATGTAAATGGTCTAGACATTGTATTAAAAAATAACTCCCTTGGGAACAGATCTGGAAATTTTTGGCATACAATAACATCTATGGATAATTCTCCTAGGAGATTTTAAGTCTTCCTGACAGGTAGGAATTGTCCCAGGAGATCCTGCCCCTATGGCCAACAATATGTAAAGGATATGAGAGCTCAATGACTCACATCCATTGAAAGGAATTCAGTCAACAAGAGGATTATGTATATACTATATATACATAACTTTTTTTATATGAGGACTAATAAAGTGGCAATATGAGGAGAGTGAAAATTGTGAATTTATATTGGGTAAAATGATGCATTCTTGACTTTAGTTTCAAATTACTCTTTCAGCCCAGCTAGGCTTGCTGGGAGTGGGTGGAAGGTCATCACATTAAATCAGTTGCTTTGAATGGCTGCAGGAAATTCTCTTCTGTGAAACCTGTATTTGGCCTGAGAGTTCCAATCCGTTATCCCATTGCCCTAAATCAGTCATGCTAGGCAGGGATTCTGGGACCAATCTGATGTTGCGTGTTTTGGGTTAACTTTACTGGAAGACAGAGGTCATTTTCCGTTTTCAGCAAAATTAAATGATTAAAGTTCACCTTAACCTAGGATCTCTATTTAGGGTCACTCCTCCAACCCCACTCCAAGCCCGGAGTAAAGGTGGTCCGCACCTTCGGTTCCCACCCGTTTGGCCCTGCAACCTTCTGGGAACTGTAGTTGACGTTTCGCTCATGTCTGCCACCAGAGCAAAGCCTGGAACTACAACTCCCGATAGGCCTTGCGCGCGCCTGCGCCTCAACCCCACCCTCAGTCAGAGCAAGAGGAGAGTGAAGGCGCGGAAGGCTTGTCTGAGTCGCTCCGCAGTTTGTGGCGGTGCTGGCGAAATGGACAACGCCGGGAAGGAGCGTGAGGCGGTGCAGCTGATGGCGGAGGCCGAGAAGAGAGTCAAGGCCTCCCACTCCTTCCTTCGAGGGCTGTTTGGGTGAGCGCCAGATCGCGCGTACCCGGAGGGGTTCTCGGCTACTAGCTGGAGCCCTGCACGCGCCCCCTAGGACCCCACAATGTCCCAGGGGCCTTCAGTCTACTGGCACCTTCCGGAGATCCCCTAGGGGCCCCAGAACTACCGTCACGCGCCCTCCAAAAGTCCCACAGTCCATCCCGGACTTGCCCTCCGAATCCCCCAGAACGTCCCAGGGGCCCTCAGCTGCTGTGCGCCCTCCAGAGATTCCCTAGGACCCCCAGAGCCCCGCTCCCAGATCGCTCCACGCCCCCTCGTGTCCCTCGTTTCCCCCGCCTTAGTAGGATGCCCTCGGCCTCTCCCGTCCGCGCCATCTCGGGTTTTTGCCCCCCTACCCCACCTCACCTCCCGCCGAGGCGAAACTGGTTTTTTCGCGGCGGCTGAAGCCGCATCACTCGAAACACCAGGGGTCTGGTGGGCTTGAGACGGGCGCGGAAAGAACAGGAGGGGAGAGCCGCAGACCCCTGCACCTGGCGGGCGCTGCTGGGGACGTCCGGCTGGCTGTGGGCCCGGAGAGGATCAGGTAGCCCCGGCGCCCCCTTCCAACGGTGGTGTCAGGGTTTGCCTTCCGACAAGTGGACATTTAGCTAATAGACGTTGGATAAATGAATACGTTTTCTCAGCATAGTAATTCCCTTCGCAGAGGTTGATGTAATAACTGGGGCCCCCTGCTTAATTAAAGCTAACGCAGCTCCTGCGTCTTTCGGGAATCCCACTAATTTCCATGCTAGGAAAGGTTTCAGTTCAGGAGATTCTCAAAAGCAGAGCCTGCATTGACAGCTCTTGGAAGAACCCTGGGCGGCTGAATATGTGAATGATTCAGCTATTTATGATGAGAGAGGCAGAAAATTTCGTGGTGGTTTTTTGTTTTTCGTTTTGGAAGTAAAAGATGCGCTCTCTGCCCACACCAAGAGCTTGTGTTTAATCCTGAAAAGGACCTGTGGTTCTTACTGAGCCATTGTATTAGGCACAGTATTGCAGATCGGTTTGGAATCTTCATTATTTGCCATCTTCCATTCTTTTCGCTCTAAATTACTTTACTGTTTGTTGATACATCTTCAGGAAATGGACAGGAAATGTTCCATTTCCTGAAGGTTTCATACAGTGTCCATGAAGATAGCAGTACCTATCAAGAATTTCTAAATTTCTGAATTTCTCATGTGATGTATATTTTTGGAAATAAAACAATGAATTATAAGTTTGTTCCTCTTTAAAAATTAGGGCAATGCATAAGGAACACTGCCTATTACTTGACATTAACACCAAATAGGAGCTCTGTTTTCTGATTGAACAAACATTTTAAATTTATTCAAGTAAAATGTAATGTCATTACATTTCATTGCAGGTGGTACTCTTAATGTCACAATGAATTTCAAGTCAGGATATGCTTCTCTGGAAGAAAATCTAATTGGCAGAGGAAAAGGACTGACAGCACTTGATGTTTACCCCTTTTTTTGTGAAAAGCTGTTGCGTTGTTGTTTTGTGAAACTAGGCCAAACCTTAAGCCATTGATCTTAAAAGGATTTGATCCTTTTTTTTTTAATATAATATTTTTACATCATTTTGTGCATTTTTTCATCTCAGCTGTAAATCCCCGTGGGCTTCCCATCACAAATGGATTTGATCCTTTTTTTTTTTTAAATCTTATCTCCATTGGTTTTCAGTCACTTATTTGATTAATAGGCCATGTAAGAAAACTGTCGTCTTCACTGATCACACTCAATTTAGTGTGGATGTCATTGTTTAACCCGGATACAGCAGGTCTCTTTATTATACTGATTCTGGGACCAAGGGCTAAATTATTTCACTGCTCTGTACTCCAGTTTCCTGTTATAAAATTGGGCTAATAATAGTACATTTCATCCTAAGTCATAGAGTATTGTAAACCAGTGTTATCTCAATGAAAAAAAAAAGTTAGATACATGAAAATATTAATATAACATTTTACTTAATAAAAGATTCTAATTAAAAAATAGTACATTTCATAGTTTGTGAAGGTTTAATGAGTTTATGCTTGTAAGAAATTTATAACTGTTGAAGACATTGTTATAACATTATGAAGTATTAATTAGCATATTCATCAAAATAGCCCCAGTTATTTTTTATTGGGGAAGCAGAGCACCCCAGATTGACTTTCCCAGGATTTCAGAGCCAAAGACCTTTTGGACCTATGAACACTTTTATTTTCAGTAATCCTTGGCTCTAGAAAAGCTTGGGGATGAAGAGTACACAGAGTTCTGTGAGTTTTAACAATATTATATAATTATTTAAAGCCAACCTGCCTTGTTTTTCTGTAGCTTACAATGGGAAGACAGATTTTCTATCACTTTCAGATGTTTGGAATCCTATATTACATATGTATCACTTATCTTGATCATCACCCTTCTAAGCCAGAATATGTATTGGTACACTATGCCCCTCTTTCCTTAGCCTTAGAATTTCCCTGTTTGTTGCTGTTCTACATGTTATCCTTTATTTTTTTTTTTTAAAGATTTATTTGTGCATACAGAATTGGGGTACAGGCCAGAGGCTCAGGGGTGGCGAGAGGCTTCACCAGAGACAGAGTGGGGAGCAGAATAGGCAGACTGAGGAAGTACACTGCTGAGGGGAGCAGCGGGCAGGTCAGGAGAGGTCTGCCATGCCATGTGGTCACCTCCCGGGCAGGTGGGAATTGAACTCATGCGAAGTGGCTTTAGCTTCTTAGTGCTGTGCTTTCACCCGCTCCACCACCAGGGAGGGCCATGTTATCCTTTATTTTAACTGCAGCTTAATTCAACATGTGCTCAGGCTCCTGAATTAACAAAACAGACATACCAATATGAATATCATCAGTATCATCTAAGCCCATATAACTGAAGAGCTAACCAGTTTATTAAAAGGACAGGTGATACTGTTAGGAAGATGTTGCAGCCATTAAAAAGTTCTCAGTCATTGCAGATATTTCACATCAGATTCTTTATCAGTATCCTATTTGCAGATTAAAACCCATGAGCCGTTTATCTCCTGTTTCACTGTTTATCCACCACCCTCATTGGTTTTGTGATACTATATTCTCACTATATAGTAACCTATATACTATAGCTCTTTCCTTTTTGTTGCTTTCAGTAAAATTAGATGAAAATGTGCATTGAATATTCCCCAAAGAGTCATGTATTTCTTCTCTATGTAAGTCACTTGTCCTTTCCTTCTCTGCAAAGATGTCACTATTCTCCCCCACATCCTTCCTACAGGAAAAGAGCTGTTGATGGCTGAGCCATCACAAGAAACCACTGTTAGTGAGATCTGTTTTTCTGCTTGATTGCCAGTTAAACAATGATGTACAAAAGTACTTGTGAAATAAAATTATAACTTACTCTTTTGGAAAGACTTTGCATAGTATAATAAAACTACCATCATGAGTATTGTTTCAGTGTTTGCAGAGATGAACTATTAAATTGTGAAGTTAATTTTGCATTCTAATGTAGAATCGTAATTAAGTACTATTATGATCTTTAACTGTCTTTGATGACAGTTGTGTTGAATTGTAAAGGCCTCTGTTAACTGTCCTCTCTCACCTTGTTGCTGGTAGACCAGATAGGAGGTAAGGTACACAATGAAGACAGGGGCTATTTAAGAGTGCTAGTGGGAAGATACTGTGAATGGTTAAGGCTGTCTTATCTTGTTTTGAATGTTCCCCGATTTCAGAGTTTCTGAAAGAGCCATAAATCTGCAATGTCAGAATAAATTTAAAGAAAGGCCCTATTGGGTTATGTTGAACTAATCATGAATCAATCATTTCTTAGCTGCTTGTGAAAATAGGAAGCATGGTGAAACCTTATAGGACATTCATTTTTAGTATTATTCCTCAGTATTAATTCCTTAAACACAAAGATTGTGTTTAAGTTTTGACAAAATATGGTGGAAACATGTATAACTGTTAATACTCAGATGCAAATTGAACTTAAAAAATAAAAAATCATTAAATCCAGATTTTCTTAAAAATAGGTGTAGTATAAGAATTATATTAATTTATGTAAGAGAAAAAGAACAATATCATGTAATTTGTGTATTAGTTATTTTAGGTATCATAACATTATGAAATGTTAAAAGTGTGTACTGTTATATATTGAAAGGCCTAATAGGAGCCCTGGTTCTCACGTTGAACAGTTTGGTGACCCTGTGCAAATAAGTGGTATTCAAAGCTCCTGGGAGTTATTTTTGTTGTTGTTTTAGCTTTCAAATTGTCAGAGAATAGAATCTGCTTTTCAGTTTTGTGTTTGAGTGAAGTATTATTAAATCGCACAGAGCTATATTACTGTTAATTATAATCATTTAGCTTCTAATTTTAGTGTCGAGTTAACAGAGTGTGTGTGTGTGTGTCCAGCAATAAACTGTTGCCAGATTGTCCTTTTTCTGTTTGTACTTTTGCAGTGTTCACCATCTAGTCTCTGGGTCTTGTGAACCCTGTGAGGTAGAGTTGTTTAGAAGAGGCGGGGAGGATCTTGTGGTGGTATGTGGCTCTAGGCTGTAAACTCCCACAGTCGCACTATTTTCTTGTTGTGTCCTGACAGCTCACCTGCATGTGCAAACTGATGGAGAGAATGAATGCACAAATACCATTTTACTCTTGTCCAGTTTTCAATAGCAAAGGCAAGCAAAAGAAAGTTTGTGTCACTTGTATTTTACTTAAATATGTGCTTATTATAACACTATAAATATGAGTTTTTCTATGCATGGTAGAAAATTGAAAGAGAGTACCAAAAGGTTTCAATTGAAAAGTAAGACTTTCCTAAATTTTACTCCCTGAAGTAATGTTTTTAAACTGTTTCTTTTTAATTCATCTGTGAGGTAAAAGCATAATTTTAAATTTTAAATACTTCTACTTCCTGATTTATTAGGTTTAAATGTTTATTGACTCTACTAGAAATTACAGGAAATACAGCATAGCTTACGTGGCCTTGCATTCCCTCCTTTACTTCCTTATT